TTGCTCTCTCCTGCTTTGTCGTGTTTAGCTTGAGGGCCCATGGTTTCCTCAAGGGTTGTCCTGGTGGTATCAGGGGTGATGTTCAAGGGGAAGCTTAGAGCCCAAGTGACCTCTGTGTGCAGGGATTCGCCCGCCAATACCACCTTGCGATGCCTCGATGTGCCTGAGGTTGGCAGGGGCTTTCCCTATGGGCTCTGTTCAAATGTGCATGTTTGCATATTTACTTTTGTGATTTTTAGTACATTGAGATGAGCAATGGAAGGACACACAGATTCTTTGTGGCATAAAAACAATCCTGTTTGCACTTCTGTCCTGTTGCCTGGCGTGCCCTGAGCCCTCGAGCTTGGGACAGCGAATAGATTTTCTCTGACGTCAACTCCAGTCAAGCGGGGATGACTTTCTGGTGCTGTTCAGGGTTCCGAGGCCCCGCTCCCGCTCTCAGGAAGGGGAAGAAGTGCTGCGATTGATTATGTGAAAAATACGTTCATAAAGAAAAGAAAGCTAAAACAGCATATTTTTCCTCAACCCCAATGACGAATTGGGGAAATTTTACAGAATGGTAAAGCCAGCAGTTGCACATGTTCCGGTGTCTCCTGCCCCCTGCTGGTGCAAATGGGTACCCTTTCCGGACTTGGTGTGAAGAGAGCAGTCAAAAGCCTTTCCAATGTTCAGATCTTTGCATCTAGAATTCCAATTCTACAGCTTTTGTCAGTGAAGTGGGGTTGTGTACAAAGGGACAAAGGGACACATATCTCATTGTGTTATTTATATAACCAAAGGGAGTTTTAAAAACTGGCTTTCTTCTTAGAATGAAGGCCAGTGTCCCCAGTGAGCTATATTACCATTTACGCGCTTGTTCCCTATGCTGGGTGCTTTTCTAAGGGCGTTGCACGTATGAACTCATTTCTGGAGGTGCTCGAAGTCCAGCGGGACACTGCTGGGGCAGCTACCGAGCGCAATGAGAGGGGAGGGCTGCCGCATTGGTCTGGCCTCAGGGTTGCAAGTGCAGGAAACAACTCTGATTAGTGTTGAGAAAAAAAAATCTTTTTTTTTTTTTTGGCTGAGATAGCTGTGTAGTCTTAACAATGGATACTAACAACAGTTAAGACTGAGAGCGTCCTATGGGCCAGGCACTGTTCCAAGTACTCTGCATGTCTTAGTACTGTGAACCTTCCAACCCTAGGAGGGAGGAACTGTTCTTAGCCCCATTTTGCAAGTGAGGAAACTAAGGCAAAAAGGAGAGTAAGTGGCTTTCCCAAGGTTGACAGGGCCAGCGACACAGACCAGCAATGACAGCCAGCCAGGCAGTGGCTCCAGGGCGCAAGTCCTTACCTAGGTGACCTCGGCCTTAACTAGGCGGCTGGACTCAGGAGTTGAGACGACACTACCAAGACCTCTTGGCTTGGTTTGCATCGCAAAGCTTCCTTCCTAGGTGGGCTCCATGTGTCTCCATGGTGACAGCCCCAAGCCCACACTAACCTCACAGCTCACCATAGCAACAGAGAAGGTCATCCCAACCCCACCTAAGTCCTGGGGCTGACGGATCTGGCTCTGGTCCTGTTTCCTCTCCCAGCCTCCTGAGACTCTGCAGGACTCCCGCAGGAAGGAGGGAAAGTGGTTTCTCAGGAAGGATGCTGAGCAGACAGAAGTATGGCCACAGTGAAGCCAGTCAATTGTGATCAAGGGCCAAAGTGAAAACCAGGTAATGGGGGGCTCCTACTATATGCAGGGCCCTGGGGAGATACTAAGACATGATCGTTGCCCCATTAGGGAGAGAACAGGCAAAAGGGAACTTGCAACAAAGAGTCACTGGAGCCGGAGGAGAAGGAGTAACTAAGAGGTGAGCAGGAGCCTGATAGCAAGGCCTGGCAAGCCCAGTAGCTACCACCACTCGAAGGCATACTACATGCCAGGCACTACGCTAAGCAACCGCTATACACGTTGCTAAGGGGAGGCCAGCAAAGGTCAGAGTCAAATTCATCTCCCCCCACAAGTAATGCACATGGAAAATGAGAATGTCTTGGTTGGTAGCACGCTGATATCATACACCTGTCACTAAGGTGCACAGCGCACACATTGAAGAACTCATTCCAGGGGCCCCAACAATGAAGATGTGCTCATTAGATACTGGATTTCTTCCAGCCTGCTTTTAAGGAGCACCGATATGGTGTGCAAGTAGTGCCATTTGAAATATCGGGGGACAAAGCTGGAAGGATTTCAGATCCAAACACAAAGGCCCTGAAACCACCAAAGGGGAAACCGGATCTGACCTGAACACACTACATATGGAGCCCCGGGGGCTGGTGCCATGCTCGGGGAATATTCAGTTACCAGGGAGGCCCAGCACTGACCTTTCTGCAGGGTGACAAGCCACAGAAGACTATTTGACAAGGGGAATTCGCTTCCTGTTAACAAGGCACTAGCCCTGTACAAAGGGGGGCAAAGACCCCGTTGGCTTTGAAGAGATGAACCCTGGTTCTTTAGGAGTCTGAGAAGGAAAAACAAAACGAAACAAGAAAGAGGGGGTATTGTGTAGAAAGGCCATATGATCCACCCAGCTGTTCAATCCTTTGCTCCAATGGGTTTGCTAGAAAGGTTGAAGAAATGATAGAAATAAACCAGTAGGAACTTGACATTCTTATTACATTTCTTTTGCAAATGCCCACGGCATATAGAAGGTATGGAAGAATGCCAACTGACTTAAATTTTACTTCCTGGGTGACTTTCCGGGCTACCCACCCCTGTATCTGACACACCTCAAGCCACTCTTTTCTTTTTTTAACCTTATTTTAGCACCCTCTATTTAATGATCTTAAATAACATAATTTTAAATACAATTAGTGTAGAAATGAAATATAATTATAGTTCTGAATTAAAGATAACAAGCCCAGATATCTGTAGTCTTAATTGTGGAATGTTTTTAGTTTATTTTGTGTTGTTTTTCTTGTATCTTTTTTTTTTTTAAAAATTATCTTTATTGTTGAAAGTATTGCAGATGTCCCTCTCTCCTCCCCCCCCCCCACCAGTGACCCCAGGCCAACAGCACTCTTGTCTATGTCCATGGGTTATGCAAATATGCATATAAATTCTTTGGTTAATTTCCCTGCTCCCCACACCTCCCAGTGGAACACACTACCTTTATTCTGTCCTCCCATAGCCCTACATAGTGTTTCTATGATGGCACTGTAGTGAGGTTGTCTCCTGACTGTAACTTACCTCTGCCCTCAGCATTTTAGCAGCTGCAGCTGCTCAGAAACTGTCTGCTGACTTCATGAAACGCTTCCATACATTTACAAACACTGCAGGGCACTGCAGGACAGCTGTGGTCATCTTTGGCCCAGGAGCTCCTCAAGTGCAACATCATGTCTTACTCTTCTTCCCTCTCTCCCCCACCCCCCTTGCCTAGCATGGTGCCTAACAGTTCCTAGCAAATGCTAGTAGGTGCTCAGTGAGTGTCCGAATGGTTAAGCGCATTCTACACATGGCAGGGTAGGAAGGGGGTAGGAGAGTAATAAACAGGATTCTTAATATAGAAAAACGTGTGAAGTCATGACACAGTCTTCTGGCTCATGAGCATGACTGATGGCCATTTCCTGGGAAAGTATGAATTCAGTTCCCGCATTCCCAGCCGGTGACATTTCTCAGAAGTTGGACAAGGGGGTTAATAAGGACAACATACAGGTGCTTCGCTGTCAGCCCACGGGCGGGTATAATCCCCCTGGTGCAGGAGAGGAAAGAGGTCCAGAGAGGCTGCTCTCTTGCCCAAGTGCACCCACATGGTCGGGGCCAGGCCTGGCCCTGCGGCCCTCTCCACCTCCGAGGCTGCTGTCGACCTTTCAGTCTCGCTGGGCACCAGGGAGAAGAGAGAGAAAGGAGCTGGGGCTCTGATCCGCAGCCTGCACGCGGCACTTCTTCGCACCGGGCACTTCTCCCGCACGCACGCACGCACGCACGGGGGCACTTCTCCCGCACGCACGCACGCACGCACGGGGCGCGCACGGGTGCACTTCTCCCGCACGCACGGGGCACTTCTCCCTCTCGGGGCACTTCTCCCGCACGCACGGGGGCACTTCTCCCGCACGGGGCACTTCTCCCTCTCGGGGCACTTCTCCCGCACGCACGGGGCACCTCTCCCTCTCGGGGCACTTCTCCCGCACGCACGGGGGCACTTCTCCCGCACGGGGCACTTCTCCCTCTCGGGGCACTTCTCCCGCACGCACGGGGCACCTCTCCCTCTCGGGGCACTTCTCCCGCACGCACGGGGGCACTTCTCCCGCACGGGGCACTTCTCCCTCTCGGGGCACTTCTCCCGCACGCACGGGGCACTTCTCCCTCTTGGGGCACTTCCCCCGCACGCACGGGGCACATCTCCCTCTCGGGGCACTTCCCCCGCACGCACGGGGCACCTCTCCCGCACGCACGGGGGCACTTCTCCTTCTCGGGGCACCTCTCCCGCACGCACGGGGGCACTTCTCCTTCTCGGGGCACTTCTCCCGCACGCACGGGGCACATCTCCCTCTTGGGGCACTTCCCCCGCACGCACGGGGGCACCTCTCCCGCACGCACGGGGCACCTCTCCCGCACGCACGGGGGCACTTCTCCTTCTCGGGGCACTTCACGCGCACGCACGTGGCACATCTTCCTCTTGGGGCAATCCCCAGCAGGAAAAGAGTACAATCACCAAAAAAAACGAAGCACTATCATGGGCGCAAGAAGGTTTCATTCAAAGGGAGTACCTCTC